TAAAGGTATTTTAAGATAAATTTTAGATAGAATTTGAAATATTTAGATGATCTGAAAATCAGAAGAAAGTATACATGAGTTTTTTACTAACTTTGACTTAAGGGAGCAAAGAGAGAATTCTGTCACTTTATTGAACAAATGTAACAAATCTGTAGAAAGTCTGCACATTAATCCAAGTCTGAAAAGGTTGTTTTGTATATTTTTCACTAAAAAATTATGCATTAATGTGCTTTTGCAATGACAGAAAAAGCAAGAGCATCAAGCTGAGAAACCTAACTGCTTGGGTCTTCAGTTGTTCCAGAGTATTTACTCATCCATGACTTTAAAGAATAAGACATTCATCCTAAGACCCTCTCCACCACCTAGAAAAAAGGGTCCATTGTTTTCAGAAGCAGAAATCAAAATCTTTCAGTTTGTCAGCTTCTGCTGACATTGATGAGCCCACTACAAAACCAGAACAAAAAGTAACTGAGTATGCAGCACATACAATACCTCCAAGTCATTTTTAACAGTTTGAGAAACAAGAATCTGAAACAGCTATCAAAGACAGTCGTGAGTAATTTTCCCATTCTGCCACTAAAGCACAGTAGTCCCTTCTCTCAACAAAACAGGCTTAGACACCCTTCTCTTTCTTCATTCTGGAGGGACACATGACACCCACATTTTTTCATGATTCTAGGCACAAAGGAAACCTTGTAAGAAGAAGTGAAGTTTAAATTCCTGTAAAACCCCATTACCATAAACTCCAGATCCATTAACTGGTCAGACATTCAGCAGTGTTAAATAGTTTACAAAACTATATTGTGTTATCTTTTCCTGGAAGTTATGACTGGAAATTCAATCCAGTGCAAGCAGCAGTTATTGCTGCTGGATATCCATTCTCATCCTCATCCTTGTATGGGCTCACTAAGAACCACAGCAGGAGACTGACCTAGGGATCCTTTTTGAAAGATCTAGTCCTAGTTTCATCCACCTGAGTGAGATTTGTCCCACTACCAGACAGGTCAATATGAGAGAGGATATAGTGCAAGGGGCCAAAGAAGGACTCAACAGCTGCAGTAGGCTTTCACCAGTGGTACTACACTTCTTAGAATTTGGGCAGGACTATATTAGCTCAAGTGATGTGGGAACCCAGGGTGGGTTTCCATACATCATAACCACAGGGACCTTCTGGAATGACGTACATAATCAGTTTTGCCAATATCCCTCAAAACTGCCACTGCAACACTTCTACCACCATGCAAGAGCATGCACCACCTTCTGTGTGAATGTGAGCAGTAAAAACTGAGTGAAATAAAGCTCTAATTTAAATTCTAGAGCTCTGAAGATCTGGAAACTCACTATGAATGCTAAATATCAAAATTCGATTTGTTTGCTGTAGGTTTAAGTACATGTCTCTATATCATTAGTTGTATTTACCTACACAGCTTCCTTGAAAACCAGGAGAAAAATAAATCCTTAATTTAAAGGCAAATCCTCATTATAATATATGACAGATTATATACAACGGTTAATCGTAGAATCATAGAATTTAAGGGTTGGAATGGACTTTATGATCATCTAGTGCCAATCCCCTGCCATGGGCAGAGACACCTCCTCACTAGATCAGGTTGCTCAAGGCCTCATCCAGCCTGACCTTGAACACTGCCAGGGTTGGGGCAGACACCACATCCCGGGGCAACCTGTGCCAGTATCTCACTACTCTTAGAGTAAAAAGCTTTTTCCTCACATCCAACCTAGAATTTCCCACCTTCAGTTTGAACCCATTACCCCTTGCCCTATCATTGCAGTTCCTAATAAAGAGTCCATCTCTGGCTCCTTGTAGGCCCTTCAGATATTGAAAAGTTGCTCTGAGTTCTTCACGTAGTCTTCTCTTCCCCAGGCTGAACAGCCCCAACTCCCTCAGCCTGTCCTCATAGGGGAGGTGATGATAATGCTCTCACTAGCACTTAATATATTTCAAAGGGAAAAACAGAATAACTATTGTCTATGTACTCAAATTTCTACTGCAGTTTTTGTTAGACAGAAAAATAAGAGGAAAGCTGCAGTTCTTAATATCAGGAAATATCATACATGCCTGCACTCCACTGGCTGACAATACCATTCTATGTATTAAGTACACTACTTTGAGATGAAAATAACCACTGTAGGAGTATCCATTTCAACATTAATAAATAGTTTTTGCTTATGGCTCACCAGGCTGCTTCCAGTTAAAATTAGATTATAGTTGGGACTCTTGTAATATCTGCCTCACAACATCTCTTTTAGAAAAGAATGCACTTGTGCATACATAACTCTCTCTGAACTAAACAAATTTGCTGTCATGTATTTAAATATGATCAATCTACTAGCCAACATTTTAATTTCATGTTCTGTGGCAAATCTTGATGGCATCAGCTATTGGAAAAAAACAGACTCAAACAAAAATGTTCAAAAAAGGCTTTCAATTCCTAAATTGCCGTGTGTTCATGACTGTTTTTCTTGTTAACAGTTTTAATGAGAGCAGGTTATGGAACTTACGTGTTTGTTGTCTCTGTAGTGACAGAGTCCACTGACTTCCCAGGGCCCTGTATAGACTCCATGGCTGTGGAATAGAGAACTTTCTGCCCTCCATGACGTTTTGCATCTGATGTACTCTGAGAACCCTCCCCTTCTTTTTCCTTCATGTTGTTGTTCAGTATGTGGATTCCCAGTAGCAGACTGTAATCCATGATCTTAAAACTTTCTAGAACCTACCAACAAAGAAGAAATGGCTATACTGAGACAAAAAATAGAATTACACAGCAGCATTTTTCATATCTAAGTAAGAATAGGCCTTCAAGACACAAGCTTCTCTTATTAGGAAAACGTGTGAAATTATAGCTAAACAAAGATCTTATACTATCCTACACAAGCCAAAGTGTTAGTTACCTAACTAGCTCAATGCTCTTGTTACAAGCGGGAAAGAAAGATGTATAGCTGAAATGGAACCCAATGTTATTTTGTAGTCATGGACAATAATTCCAGGTGGCACCTTTTCATTATAGCAAATAAACAACTGATAGTTCCACCATATACTTATGAACTACAGACTTTTTAAAGCAATCTCTAATGCACGTTCCAGACCTTACTGAGCATTTTTGCTTAGACTGTGCTCTTTCTCCCCTCTACCTCTTGTTTGTAACAGAGAGAATATTCCTGGAAAACTCTCGAATGTCAAAAAAAAGCATTTGCTACCACCTTCTCATTAACAACTGACAGGATTTGATTACAAAAATCATGCATCTCTCTAAGTTAAATAAGGGGTATCTAAACTCAATTTTACTTCTGAAGCATAACTTAATCAACCAGCCTTCTCTCCTAGCTCTGCCAACCAGTATTGCCTCTATCAGTAGGCAAGTTCCCTTTCTTCTCTCACACACATGTACTGTCATGAGTTTCTAGTCAGCTATGTCATCATGAAGTCTGGCATGCTGCCATTAAAAGCAATAGAGTTCAAGTCAATACCCAAACATGAGCTAAAACAAGCTGTGATCACATCTAGTAACACAACCAAACTGCTCACAGACAGCAACTGTCTTAACTGTCTTATGCAACTGCAGTGCTAAGTGTAGGGAGAAAAACCAGTAACAACCAGAAGTGATATGCTATGCCACTCACCTCTCCTTTGCCTCACGCAGCACAGCAATGATTCATGATACATTGTGGACTCACAATGCCCTAAGATAAAGGTGTAATTTTTGGCACAGAATCAAGAGGCAATAGTATGTCTTTTTAAGTGAGCACGAACAAAATGTGATTTTGCAGCGATGACGAATACAGAGCAGTAACACCAGGTACCTAGTTTTGATGGAGATTATCAAAGTATAAATATTTTTACATAAAACACTGAGATAGCTGAGCAGTATCTTCCCTTCTCATACCTCCACAGGTTTAAAATATAACTGGCAGTAAATCAGTAACTTAGTATGGATGCATACTACTTAAACCATCTGATCTGTGCATCTTATCATAAGGTTTTTATACTACTTACCCTAATGGTTGGAAAAAAACCTCATTGCTCAGATAACCAGAACAGTGAAGAACCAAAGCATAACATGCTGTAATCTAAGTGTAGAAAGACACCACCTTGTCCTGGTTTCTAGACACAAAGGATGAGTGTAGAAGACACAGTAGGTTTGCCCTTGCTCAGAGTAATCTTGCACAGTGGAGGGTTATTTCAACTGTAACAAGAAAAAGGTTGCTAATGTATGGCCCTTAGTACTTCACAGCATCTTCTGATGAAAGAACTCACACAGGGTTTCAGCCTCTACAAAGTATATTCTAAATCACTGTACAACAAGATCCTGAAACTTCAGGGTGTATGGGAAAGTTGGTGGCTAATAACTTTCTGTCTTATGATCCTAACTTGCAAGACCGGCATGGCTAACAGGTACAAAGGCACTCATACCAAGGTACCAAGAAGTTCTAGAATTTTCTTTACTGCTTACTAATTGCTACCCTTTAATCAGACTTTCTCAAAGTGAAATTATTATATAATAAATTCATTAAAATATGTAATCAGCAAATGTTTGCCATGAAATACTGAAAGTAGATTCTGGGCAGGCTGAAAAATAACACCTTAGTAGTACAATAGCCAAAGCTGTTTATGCAAAGCCGGATTACAGGAGCCGGTCAGGCTAGCTTGGAAAAAGCACTGCCACTTTTATTTTACATTTATAAACTACTGCTGACAGGTCTGCCTTCAACCTATTCTTTACTTCCTTTTGAATTAGATCACGTTAGACACATTAGGATTTAACTGTACTAATTGCATAACCTATGTCTAGGACTGGATGTAGCCTCCCGGAAAGCTGTGGTATGATGTGCTGCTGCTTCTTCCACAGAGACCTTTTATGTGATAAAATTAATCTTTCTGACTGCATCAATTCACCACAGCCACTTAAACCCAGTACTTGTGCAACACAATGGACTATTCTTTGATGATTCATAACTTTGCCATAGGATTAGTGAAAAATGTCATGAAAACAAGTAGCTGTTTTGTTATTCCAGTTTATTATGAAACACCTGCACATTCAATGGATTAACTGCAGTACAAATTCTTACAAACAGCATATAGCATATGAACTCTAGCCCTTGTCCCCCAGACACCCTATTTATGATCCAACTCGAAGGCAGAACTGTGCTGTCTGAAAAGTGTCATCAGGATATCATAACACTATCTGGCCCTCTGTCTGCCTACAGGTTTGATGTACAGTTCTGATTACATCCCCAGAGAAATTTGATAATCAAACCAACCACTCCTTAAGCAAATGCTCCTTTTTCACCATATCAAAGCATGTTTCACTTTCCATTTATTTCTAATGAAAATTCTGATATGAAATAATTAGCCAGAATAACAAAGAAGAATCTTGGAAATCAGGACTCAAAAAACCCTTACTCTGTGTCAAACTCTTCAGTCTATATTGACAGAAATCTGACTTCAATCAGTGGGATTTCCAGCTGAATATATCAGCAGTGTTCTCACATTTGTATCATCATTAATATTTAAAATACCAAATCATGACAATTTTTTAATGTGTGAGTAACATTTGCACACACAGTTGTACAAATTAATCTGGTTTGCCAATGACAAGTTACAGAATGCAGCATATCAGGATATTTCTGAACATGCAACATTCTATGAGAACAAAAAAAGGGGTAAGCCTTTTCCTGTGCTGAGGTTTGCTCACAGGTAGCTTGGATGATTTTAGATAAGACTGCTCTTGAGATGCAGCAGCAAGCTTTTGCTACAAAGTGATAACCTAATCTAATGAAAAAAACCCCAAATAAATCATAGTACTAAAGGGCTATATTCATAGTAAAATGAGAAAGCCCTCTGTAGCACCTGATGCCATCCATGTGAGATCATTGGAAATTGACATTAACTCCCAGAAATACACTCCTTGTGTAGTGCAAGTGAGAGAAATTTAATCACTGCTCATGTAACCACTCTGAAATGTACCTTGCTAGCAGAACAGCACTGTCAGATTTCAGCAAGAATACTCTTACTAGTTAGTACACAGCATGATTAAGTGTTGTATTTGATAACAAGTAAACCTCCAGTTCATTAACCTGACATTAAATTGTTCATCTCATTTGTATTTATATAGGTGTTATTTCACTAGCTACAGAGATTCTATCAACACAATGTTGTCACTTGGTCACCAAGTACTGTAGGCAATGCTGCCTTGAGCTGCTCTGACAACTTCCAGATGGCAAGCGTCACTCACCCCTTCTAGCCTTAAGCACTATTTTGTTTCCATGCCACAAAAAAAACCCCAGTAAAATGGCATCACAAACTAAGTTATTTCAGAACATGAAAAAATAACTCTGTGAATCAGATTTTCTTTTCTCAGAGCTAATCAGATGCTAAGGCATTCTGTGAATCATCTTAGTAGACATGGTTACATTCCAATATCTCAGGCAGTGACTAACAGAGCAAACAAGTATTTCTGCCATAAAATGTCATTTTTATTTTAAAGGCAGCCAGCCCAAGCTGCTTACAGGAAAATCTGCATTCACATTGCTATCCACGCAAAACAACATGCAAAAAAGTCAGGTCATTTTCATAGAAGAGTCAAGAAAAAACACTACTCAAACAGAAAATTGCTTTGCAGGCTTATGAAATGCAAAAAACTAAAAGCATAACCATGCAAGCAAGTACTTCCTCTCCTACAAGCACTTTGGAAAAGGGATATAGGAATTAATGCAACAGAAAGATCAATTTTACACCAAATGAATAATTACTCTTCAATGTAAGGAGCTATATAAAAAGCCCACAAAATAAGGGACTGTCTCACAGAATAAGCATTTCTTAGAATGTCAATACCCAGCAATGGGTCTGGTTTAGAAAAAAACATATCCCAAGAAAATAAGTCACCACCTCCCCCCCAAAGTATTATGTGGAATCGCTTCCCATTTCAACAGAATTCTCAAAATATATAGTTAACCAACACTCCTAAAACTAACAATCTGGTTTCTGATTTAAAAAGTACAGAGAAATTTGTAGTGTCAATTGATGCTACAGAAGTGACAATATATAAAGATACAGCAGATCTGCAGCATCATTGCACATCCCTTTTCCTCAAACTATCATTTCTGACAAAGAGGCCCTTCATCTAAGATTAGAATCATGGAATCATCAAGGTTAGAAGAGACCTCAAAGATCACCAAGTCCAACCACTGCTTTAACCCCTAAACCATGTCCTCCAGCACCAGACCCAGATACCTCTTAAACACTTCCAGGGATGGTTACTCCACCACCTCCCTGGGCAACCTGTTGCAGTGCCTGACCACCCTAGCAGTGAAAAAGTTTTTCCTATACCTAATCTGAGACTCCCCTGTCTCAGCTTATCACCACTCCCTCTAGTCCTCTCACTGCAGGCATGGGAGGAGAGACCATCCCACACCTTTCTACAACCCCCTGTCAGGTAGTTGAGGAGAGTGATGAGGTCATCCCTGAGCCATCTCTTCTTAAGGCTGAGCAAGCCCTCAGCCCTTCCTCATACATGTGTTCTAGAGATTTCACAAGCCTTGTTACCCTTGGCTAGACTCGCACCAGCACCTCAATGTCCTTTCTAAAGTAAGGGGCCCAAAACTGAACACAGCACTCGAGCTGTGGCCTCACCAATCTGAGTACAGGAGGATGATCACTTCACTAGTCCTGCTGCCACACTATTCTTGACATAGGCCAAGATGCCATTGGTTAGGT